GAGCGAGCGGGGAGGAGGAGGGACGGGTGGCGCCCCGGGATCTCGCGGGGGCGCCGAGTACGCTACTGTTGGGCTGGAGGAGCGGCCGCTGGGAGAGGGGCCGCCGCCGCCCGGCCGTTAACCGTTAGCCTAACGGCGCGGCGCCCGGGCAGGGGAGGCCCAGCCCTCTCTCTGTCTCCCTGCTGGGTTCCCTCTTATAGCGAAGCTGCCTCATCACCAGCCGAGCCCACAACCTTAACTGGGGCTGGGGGGATCACTGCTGGAGGCTCTTCGGGCCAGGGGACACGTACTGGGTCTGTATCATTATGGAGCCAAGCATGGCTAACTCGCTTAAGTCGTCACGGTTCTCAAATGCTTGTGCGGGAAGCTGCGGTTAGTTTTGCAGCCTGCACTCAGTAAAGTCTGTGTTAAAAGAATCCCTGACACCCAGTTGGTCATGGTGTCAGTGGAGCAGTGGCGGCTGGAATGGCAGTGAGCAGAGGTCCAGCCCCGTCCCTCCTCCGGCGGCAGCCTGAGCACGTTCTCCGTCAGGCATGCTCTGCTCCACTGCATGGGAAGTACTAAGTGTGTGCTGGGATTGGAGTGTGTTGCTATTACCCTGATGGCAGCGGGAGCAGAAATCCTCTTCAGCTCCCACAAGTTGCTCTGGGAGTGTAATGAATAAATTTCTTTCACTTTTCTTTCATGCATGTTTTAGATGCCAAATGGAAAGCAATCATTGACCAAATTAACAGAGCTGTGGAGGTCTATAAGCCATGTATAAAGGAGAATTGCAGCTGCCACCAAAGGTGAGAGACTGGGTTCCTTTTCCTGGACAGGCCCCTGGCCCTCAAAGGGAATAGCCATTCCAGCACTAAAGGATGGGAATTACCATGAAATACAGAGAGCTAGGGACTTCTATATGTGGATGCAGGATACCTGTGGATACTACAAGGGCTGTACAAGGGCTAAGCTGTCCCATAGACCTAGCCAGTTTAAGATTGACATCTGTTTCTACTGACAGAGCATGGCTGCAGTATGGAGAATTACATTCCAGATATCTAGGCTATAATTGTCATGTAGGTGGAGACTGTAGGACTGTATTATTTTGGGCATCGCTAAGCCTTTTTTTTTTTTTTTTTTTTTTTTTTTTTTAAGCTAAAAGAGGAAGGGGGGATACAGGGAGGAGGAGTACAGGGAAGAGTGAAAATATTAATTCTTCCGTCTTTAGGATCAGGTTTCCAAACACAGATGCCCAGCTTTAAGTTCCCTCTTTAAAAATAAATAAATAAATGAAAACACCCTTTAACTGTACCATTTATTTTGAGGCTGAGACTAGGTACTATATTGATTTTTAAAATCGGATGGATGATTCATGTTAGGCAGCTGTTTGTATGCTGTGCCTGGAGCTTTTGATCTTCACTGTTCCTGAAATACTGGTGAGGGAAAGCCTCTTGTAGCTTCATTTCCCAGTCTTTTTCCTCATTCCAAATCTGATAGAGCCTGAGGATATCACTTAAGCTTTAAACATACATGCCATCGTCTCCTGCCTGGCTTTGGTGAGAGCCCAAAGCCCCTTCCCAGGTGCTTACAGCCTCCGAACTTGCTTCAGAACGTGACAATTGATAGTAACAGAAAGTTACAGTTGCTGTGGGCCCCAAACATAGTTTTCACTGTAGTGTGGTTTATTTAAGGGTTGTAGTGAAGCACGGGTACTCTATAGTGACAAGCATTATAAAAGAATCAAGCAAGATAATATAGCGTGTGCACTGTGTGTCACTAAGAAACCCGACTCGTTTTGCTAGCTGATTTGGAGATCTTTAAATGCTCAGCAGAACAGCGAAAGCCCTGCCTTCCCCCATGTAGTAGATTCTACTTGTGTCTGGTTTTCTGCCACTCAGTGGACAATGACTGGAGGTCCAAACTCGTTAGTGACAACTGGAAGGTAGTGACCTAAATTAACATGACGTGGATGTGCCATAAATCTCTCCTATTCTCATCCTGTTTTCATGCACGTTCCGTTTCCATCCCTGCCTGACAGCTCATCCCATGGTTGGCCCATCTGTTAAGCAGCATTTTTTATGTAGTTTTATAATCTTATACCTGTTTAAACATTGTAGTGTTATATTAAACCAAGGCATCAATATAGTATCAAGAAATAGAGAGGAGTTCTCCATGGTTGCTCTCATCTGACCGTTTTCCTAACTGCTCCAAGCAATTAGATCTGAGGATCTTCAAACTGACATAAACTGCGTTCTACTTCTCCTGTCTTGTATTACATATATTTGGATCTGTGTTTTCATATTTCATTCCTGGAGCTCGCTGGTGGTGTGCAGGTGTCACAGAGCGTACTCTGCTTAGGCTCAGTGCCCTGGACTGGTTTTCACCGAGCACAGCGTGACTGGACAGTGCTGCTTCTTGGGACTGACTCTTAACTTGCATTTTTATGGCTAAATAGCATCACACTCTATGAGGAAATTGGTCTTGGAGCTTCAGCTGCAGGATTCAAACATTAAATAAGATAAAAGCTTTTAATCGTAACATGTCAAGGTGTGTAAGGTGCTTTCCGGGAGAGTAGCTGGAGTTGTCTGTGTTGACTGAATTTCCGAGTCCTGTGTTGGGCTTTTTGTTTGGGCAGGCAGCGGGTAGGTAATCAGAGAGCAAGGCTAGGACCTTATGGTCTCTGAGTAGCATCTGTTTGGTGTGAGCTGAATTGAATCCTCTCTAGTACCATGTATAGGAGAGCTCCTGGAAGCTACACTGAGCTTACCTTAGAAGCCTCTCTTGTATGCTGCAGTAATTTATGTGCAGTATCCTCCCTGCTGTGCCTAATGGTGGCTGGTATTTGCTCTATTTCAGCGTCTGGAAGCAGGACCTGGCTCCGTTTCAAGGTGGCATTTCCAAGGAGATAATATCAGATGTGGTGAGCCGGAAGCTTGGAACACACTACCAAATCATTAAGAACAAGTTATATCGTGAGCATGACTGCATGTTCCCTGCAAGGTGAGAGTCATGCAGAATATCCTGTCTCCCTAGCCAGGACACAAGAGTATTTCCAAGCCTGCCAAGTTTAAAAGTCATCGAGCAAATGATATTTCAGAGTTCTGAATTTCTTAACAGGGTCAGAGCCTACAAGATTATGTATGAGACTGAAACGTAGGCAAGAAGTAAAAGTCACTATTGCACCTCATTGTACAGAGCATAAGATAAATGTGGGATCCCAGAGACAGCTATGGATTGGGGCTGCTGTAGCAGGGTAGGTGGCTTCATTGGCATCTGTGCTGGAGCTCAGCGCTGCTATAGGCAGTTCCAGCCTGAATTAAGGTATGGTTCAGATTCACCATCTCTCCTGCTTCTACACAGACTGCAAAAGCCTTCCGAGAGAACAAGCACAGTTCCTGGAGTATGTGTCATTTTTCCACAGATGCAGTGGAGTGGAGCATTTCCTTCTGGGGATCATCAACCGACTCCCAGACATGGAGATGGTGATCAATGTGCGAGACTACCCCCAAGTCCTCAAGTGGATGAAGCCTCTTATCCCAGTCTTCTCTTTCAGTAAGGTGAGGGGTTCACATGCTGGGCAATTCTGAGACTTACATCCTCTTTTTTCTTTGGCCCCTGTCTTTGAAGGTGGTCGTCCAAAGATCTCTTTTGCGTCAAAATTGTTTGTTCTATTTTGCTCTTTATGTTCCTTCCTACTTCCAGTTTTCTAGCACAGAGACTTGGAGGCTTATTCAATGGAATAGTTTTTACCCCTCATTAGCTCCTTTTCCAGGTCAAAAATACACTTCTGCCGCAGTGAAGTGCTGCACAGCTAGGTGAGATGTGTGCCAGCATCACTGATTTGCTACAGTGCCTCTGTTAAAAGTGTAGCTCAGAAAACGTGATCCTCAGTCAGCTGCCATACAGCTAGGCTGAGTTAATATGTAAATCTTGGGTCTCTCTTGATACCATAGATAAATATTCTTCATCTTCTTTTCTGTGATATTTTTGTCTTCTGTTAACCCTTTTCCCCATATTCTTTACTCCATCCACACACACACTCTTTATCTCTCCCTTGCCAGACTGCAGATCTCTACTGCCTATTCTCTTGCCTCTGGCATTGCCAAGCTTGAGTGTAGCAAATCAGTGTCCCAACCTTTTCACCAAAATATCCTTGCACTTCATGTCTCAGCAAATCTTGTTCTGGCTCAGGGTGGTCCAACATGCCCAAATTCTGAATTTTGTCTAGTCCTGTTCTTTTTCTTGACTGAAAGGGTTTGCCCTTGCAAGCCATAACAGGTGCAGAATGAAGGAATAAACCATTGGTTCTCACTAACTCGGGAACCTGATTCTATTTCTGCTAACTTGTAAGTATGTTACCCTAGACCCTGGTCTTTAGCTCATGCAGTCCAAACTCTCATATGATTCATAGTCATTACATAGTAGTTCCCAGCCATCCTAAAACTATCTCTGCAGATTTTAATACAGCTTTGCAAGCACTGTCATTCAAGAACTGTGGTCTTTGCAGGATGCAGTAGTAAAACTAACTGTGTTACTCCTTGACCCTAACACAACCTTAGTTCTAGCTGGCAGGACCCAAGTAGGTGCAGAATGGGCTGCAATAGCTTTCTCTTCACACAGATGTATTCATCATCCTTCCCTGGGAGGCTTGCAGAAGCCAGCTGGACGCAGAGTTCTCCAGTCCTTGTTCAGTATCTGAACCGTGACCTCAGCCCTAGCCTTAACCGTAACGGAGTGATTCAGACCCAGCTCCTACGTAAGCAGCCAGTGCTAGCCTCTACCGGAAGGAGGAGGCTTAGGTTTGATGCCAAAGGTATAAAGGATTGAGTGCTTCTTGTGCGTCCTGGAAGGCCCAGAGGGCTAGGGTGATGTCTGGAATTGGCATGGTTTGATGTCAGTGCCAACACAATGTGTCCAAGGAGATCACAGAAGCACAAACTCATTTAGGTTGAAAGGAACCTGAGGAGGAGAGCTGATTCTCTGGTTCAGCACCCTACTGAGAGCACCATGAGTTGGCTCATGGTGCTTGTGGCTCGTCCTGCCCAACTCTGAGTATTGCTAGGATAGGGATTCCACAGGCTTCCTGGGCACCTGCTGCAGCATTCGATCTCGCTCTCAGTGAAAACATGTTTCCTGATATCTACTTGCAATTACCTGTATTATAATCAGTGTCTCTTGCCTCTCATTCTGTCTCAGTGCACTTCTGAAAAGAGTCTGCCTGTACCTTTTCTCAACCCTCCTGTTAGGTGGTAGAAGATAGCAATTATATCCCCCCTCGCCTTCTGTTCTCATGGATGAACAAACCTGGTTCTTCTGGTCCTCCCATGCACACAGCTGAACTCCATGAGCAAATGCCTTCTCGGCAGTGGAAGAGCAGCTCTGCTAACTTGCTGACAGGAAGGCATGATGAGGAAAATTAGATTAAGTGAAGCCAGAATTTGACTCGTCTCTCACTGATAACAACTTGGCATGGTACCAAACTGAATTATTTATCCCAAAGAGAACTTTGATAGTTGTTGAAAACCAGCAAGAAAACAGCTACCCTCTGGATGGATGGCTTAGCATTCAAAATCATGAAAATCATGTGTTGTCTTGCAGCAAGTTGCAGCTTCTTTAGTTTCATAGAAAATAGGTTGGAAGGAACCTCAGGAGGTTGTTTGTTCTAGTGCCCTGTTCAGAGCAGGACTAAATATGAAATATACATGCTGAAATAACACTTGCTTTTTTTCTCTGTTGGGGTTGTCTTGGTGTGATCCCCAGAAATACAGTAGTGATCATAGAGCTCCAGTGGTTGCTTACAAGACAGTAACAGAAAAAACAGGCAGAACTCCTGAAAGGAGTCTGTCTTGCTGACTGAGTCATTCAGAAAACTAAGTTAAGTGTTACTTGTACTCCTAGATTCCTCTTAACTACAATCTCCTTTTTCTTAAGACACCTGAATACAGTGATATCATGTATCCTGCGTGGACGTTTTGGGAAGGAGGACCAGCTGTTTGGCCAATTTACCCAACAGGTTTAGGGCGCTGGGATCTCATGAGAGAGGACCTGAGGAGGTATGTTGTGTGAAGGCAGATGCTGGGTGGGGAGGCACAACAATGAGTCTATCTCGGTAAAAGTTTTCTAGCACCATGGAAGCTCTGGGGCAATATTGAAGTCCTGGGGTCCAATCTGTTGGCTCTGATAAACTGCATACAGCCAAAGTGCTGTGCAAGAATTCTTCATGGAAACCTTGCGTGGTGCAGCCAGAAGTTACAGTTAGCTTCTCTATTTCCAGCCCTTTTGCAAGGCACACAGTCAAAGCCTGATTACTGTCATTTTCAGTGGGATAGAGCTGGTCATTAAAGCAGTAGTTGTTATCACTTGTCTGCAGAAATCTTCCTCAACACATGGCAATATTCTCCTTTGTTTCCAGCTACTTCTGTAGGATCCATGTTTTTGTTTTTTCCACTGCAGAGATGATCCAAACTGTTTGTATAAGCTTCTGGAAGGGTGAAGGAAAAGCCTTCCTCAGACCTACCTTCACTTGAGGGCTGCAGTTGTGCACCAGAGAAACCTGGAATCATTCCCAGGGAGCAAGAGTCATTACTGGGCTCAGATGGGCTAGTAAGATGGAACATGTTTCTGACAGGAAGTCTGTCTTCTGGCAAATCTTTGACTGTTAGCAGAATAAGGAGTTGTTTCTCCTGAAAAGTGACGTAAAAGAATGTAACAGTGAGTGAAAATAGAAACGCAACAAGGGGTGGGGGGGAAAAAGATATATGTCAGTTGATATCAGAATGCCATACATGTCCAAAACCTGAAGACTTGTGGGATTAGTCATAGTTGAATGCTAATGTGCTATAATGTAGTATAGAAGACATCCAAAGCATTTACTTATCCTTGCATTTCCAGCAGGCCTCACTGACAGCTCTGGGTTACATGCAGAGGCAAAGATCAGTCTGCACAGATGAGGTTGGGGATCAGGACCTACATATCTGGCCAGGTGCAAAAAATAATTAAAAAAAAAAATCCTCTGAGGGAGAGAGAAGGCATATGAGGACTATTCTGCAGGATTTACTTTAAAGATATTTAGGGAAACAACAAGCCCATGTGTTTTAAACACAAAACAACATTTTCTTTGTAAAAAGAGGAATGTGATAACAGTTAGAAATTCTGTATAGTCATTTTGCACTATGCATATTCAGTGAAATGAAGAGCAGTAAAGGAGCAATGTAAATGGTATATTCAAATTTTTGGAAAATGTTAATATTCTTAAAGCAAAGGTTTGATAAGAGTTTTTGTGTGTAATTTATTCTTTTGACTGTAACTCTGAAAAGTAGCCTATATCATGTTGCTTTGAACAGAATTATTCACAGGAAAACCTGTTTCATTGGACCTGACTGAGAATTTTTTTTCTGATATAATGAAGAAAGTGATTGCCAATAAAAATGAGGAATAATAAAATGAGATCATGCTGTGAAAACTGATGAGCACTGTTTTATGGTTTTATTAAATCATTTATTGCCATGTATAAAAAATATTTTCAGATCTGCAGAAAAATGGACATGGATGAAAAAAATCTCCAAGGGATATTTCCGGGGATCCAGGTGAGTACATCTACCTGCAGCAGGAGATCCTGCTAGCATATACCCTTCCAGTTCTCTGTAAATGGAATTTTTTGTATCTCCAAGACCTAAGCAAGTGTAACCTAGAATAGATTATTAAAAGGAAAGCAAGACATTTTGTGCAGCAGCATTTCACCATTAATGCTTCTCCTTAAGAGCTGCCATTTGCAGCTAATTTCTTATAATAAGTCTAATACTAGAAACAAGTTGTGATGAATTTGCTGCTTTATTTCTTAATGAGTAAAACTGTCTGCCTAGGAACCAACTTCTTTCCTTCTGTGATGGGGACTGCAGGTGCATGATACAAATGTGAAGATTTGGTATTGCTGTACCAGCTTCTTGACAGTGTGAATTCTTCGTTCTCTACGAAAGTGCTCTGCAGTGATTCAGCAAGTGTTCTTGCATTAGTTACCTGAGAGTTGGGGGTAAGAGAGGAGCAGACTTTCTCCCTCTCTAGTGACAATTTGAAAATGGTGTTGACCCCTACATGTCCTTGTTTCCCCACATGATTCTGTTTTAGGGGTGGACTTGATATGTAACTGTTAAGAGATAGGCTTAGGAGATCTCGGGGAACTCATAGCATCATTTATAGTAGTGATTTAAATTAGTTTGTGTCATACAGATCAGCATCAAAGATGCTTAGCATCACTTCAACTTCTCTGATTTGGGGCATTAAACTATTCAGTACCTGTAAGATCAAGTCTGAAAGAGAAAATCTCTGCTGAGTTGTCCTGGGAATTGCTTAAATAATGCTATTACATGTTTAATATTTTATCATAAGTGAAGAAAATAAACATGGCCTCAAATCATTCCAGTACATGCAACTCTTCTGTGAATGTACACATGGGCAGAAGTATACTATATGGTAGGCACCAACTGCTATTTTCTGGGGACATAAAAGGTCAGCCTCGTGAAGAAGTAGGATCTTGAGCCCTGAATGTTTTTAGCTGTGTAGGGTCAGATGGATTGAAAATGGTGGCATTTCTTTTGCAGAACGAGCCCTGAGAGAGATCCCCTCATACTGCTGTCCCGAGAAAACCCAGAACTCGTGGATGCCGAGTACACTAAAAACCAGGCCTGGAAATCTGAGAAGGTGTGTGTGTTTTGTCTGTTTTCTGCAGGTGCAAGCCACAAAGGACCTGGCAAGATGGCTTTGATGGCAGAGATGCATCTTGTGGAGAACTGTGGATGCTTCTCTAGGGTGGAGGAGGCTCTCTGATAGCTGAGAGGAAGGAGCCTCTAGAGTCTGGCAGGCCAACTGTTTTTTCCACCTACATTTTTTTTGTACAAAAAACCTAGGACAGTTAAAAAAATGAAACAATAGAGCACAGCCCCCTCTGTAGTGGTGAAATAAGAGACCAAGGCCATAGAATAGGGCTCAGTGAACTACTTACTAGATTCTGAAGTGTTTAAAACATCAGGGGTTTAGAAAGATTCCAGGCTCTGCCCTTCAACTTTGGGGTCTCTCTCCACTCTCTTGGGTTTAAGGCTGCTGTTGAAGAGTGGGTGCCCTTTCACTGTATCCATCCTGATCATCTTCATAGCTACAAAATTAACTTAGCTTTTTCCTTCCAGACACAGATTGCCTGTGTGCTGTCCTGTCTTCAAAGCCTTTTCTTTTCATCTCTATCTCTTTGTCTTGTTGCTGACAACTTTCTGGTAACTGCTACTTACAAGTTTTTAGTTTTATAGTTACTCCACAGTCCTGCTCTCTGCAGACAATCTTGGCTAATCCAGCTACATTTGGCTTCAGACAGTCCATTGTCCGGTTTTCAGCTCTGTAGCTGCCAACTTAACATCATCATTACTCTTACTGAACTTTTTTTTTTTCTCAGCTGAAGGCCTGGGAATCCTTTATAACACTTCTAAAAATCCACCAGAGAAGACTTTCTTGTAAATGGGTCTGGAAGAATTTGGGATTTCGGCTTATTTTGAGTTAACTCAGAAGGAAAATTAATATAAAATCACTGTATAAAATGTATTTTTAAAATTCTCTTTATTTTAAGGACACCCTAGGGAAACCTCCTGCAAAGGAAATTCCACTGGTTGATCACTGCAAATACAAGTAAGAGTTTTGATCAGTAAAACTGTTCAAGGGCTATGTTTTATTACTTTGCTTGTACAGTCTATTGTGTTTCTCTTGCCCTTTTTTTTTCCCTCCCCTCAAGATCTAATTCCTGCAGCAAATTTCATGCACAAAGCACGGAAAGCCTACAAGCATGCATAAAGCCAGTTGAAAATTTGGGAGCTTAGCTTGGCCACTTTCAGTGCCATCTTTCTCCATCATGTGTGGAGAAACAAAGTGCTTTGGGGAAAGCAAAGATTTTATATCAATAATAAAATATAGATCAAAAATGCACTTATTTTTACAAACTTCCTAGTCAAAAAGACTTTAAATATTTTTTTCTTTAAATTCCTGTGCCAAGCAGTGGGTTATTTTTTCGGTGCTATAGTCGGAGCATTAGTATCTTCAAAGACATAAAGAACTAGGGAATCAATCGTTGATGTGCATGTGCAAGTAAGTGTTGCCATTGGATGTATATAATGAAAGAGAGAACCAAGAATATGATTGGGTGCATAACAGCATTCATACTTAGTATGTTCTTTGGCGAAATATGGTTTTGATTGTATAAAGGATTATTATTATTATTTTCATCCTTTTTTAGTTTAATATGCTTGTGGGTTTTTTTTTTGTAAAAAAAAAATATATATATATATATATACACTGTTTTATTTTGTTTTATAATAGTTTAGTAATGATTCTACCAGCTAGAATCTGCTGATTGAAGAACTTAGCGATTTGGCTGGATCTTTGTTTTTGTGCAAACATGATGAATTTTTCTCATTTTATGTTCTACTAGGCTGTTCTCATGACTTTTCCCTTCCGATACGCACAGAATTCCCCAACACCTGATGCCTCCTAAGCCCCTTTGTACACAACAGCCTGAGACATCCTCACATCCTTGTGTCATGGCCCAGTTTGGTAGCTGTCATCAGTAGTCTTTTGAGCATCATGGGCTCTATCCATGGACTAGCCCTGCAGTGGTCCTGCATTATTGAGTTTCAGCTGTGGGTAGCACAGGTGTAGAGAGGCTGTAATCGCACTACCTACAACAGCTCTCTAACAGAGAAGTCTGTGCAAGGGTTGGGAGAGCCAGTGTCTGGTAGGTTCCGCTTGGATTTCTCCCTGCTTCCCTCAGTTAGATGCCCTCCCAGCCTGTCTGAAAGCAGCCCTGTAGTGACTTGGCTGAGGTCACGAATGATGGGAGCAATGTCTGGAGTTGGATGGAAACAGTTCCTCGCTTCCAGACCACTGTTCTTGTCACGTCCCTGAGTGTTTATTCAGTTCCTAACACAATGGGCTCCTCGACCCTGCCTTCAGCTCCTGGGTGCTGCTACAGTAACAGACATAATCCAGAATAATTGTAAATCTACTTCCTTTCACTTAGTGCTGCCCTGGGCTTTGTTATAATCCCCATCACACCCAGAGTAGCTGCATTAAAGGAAGAGTTCCCTTTCCCCAGCCCCAAATGTGTGTCTTCAAAGATATGTGTACCGAGCGTTTTTACCCGTAAGAAAAACAGCTTTATAGATTAATAGAGAAAAATGGATTTAAAAAAGTAAACAAGTAAATAAACAAACATATCACTGAGATACAGTTTCCTAACAAAGTTTGCTAACAAAAACCCCCTTCTCCCAGATCCAAGTCCATCTTACTAATTTGGCTGAAAATATTGGAAAAGAGAGTTGTTGATTCTTTCTTATCGGCAAAGTCATTTATTCTGTGCTAGCCTATTTCACCCCCTGTGTTTTTATTCCCAAGTTAATATTGTTTCCCTCCAGATTAAAGCAGGATCCTAGGGGGCAGAGGAAAGGCTGGGGTAGATAATGTCAAAGCAGAACCATGATCAAAATAAGTTCATTGTAAAGATGTGGGAAAAGAGCTCCTTGTGGGAATAGAATCTCTGGAGTAGTGTAGAATCACAGGGACAGCATCAAAGTTGTGACCCTCTGTGACGTGTTTGCCATGGCCTGGGAGGTCTCCTTTGATTTGTCACCCGTGGGTGTCTGTGTCAGAGCTAAAGCTTCATCTCTGAGCTTTCTCCCCCAATTTTGACAGGCATCAGAAAGTCACCGAGTACATCCTTAACTTCATTAACACTGGGGAGCTTCAAAAAGAAATCTTTTTTTTTCTAGTGACAGATGCCTCACTCAGTGTGAGAGGGACCCTCCTACCTGTTATCTGTGAGAGAAAGCTGACCTATCCTTCAGAGGCCAATTTCTTAGCAGAGCAGGTAGCGTTTTCTTGTAAAAGGGCAAGTGTAATTGGGTCCCTGTTTTTGCTTGTACTTTTACAGGTACCTGTTTAATTTCCGGGGAGTGGCTGCCAGTTTCCGGTTCAAGCACCTTTTCTTGTGTGGTTCGCTCGTCTTTCACGTTGGAGAAGAGTGGCTGGAATTCTTCTACCCTCAGCTGAAGCCTTGGGTTCACTACATCCCTGTCAAAGCAGACCTCTCCGACGTCAGGTGCGAGCCCTGCAGTGTGCTCAGCAGAGCAGCGCGTGCTGCAGGAAAGCACTGCCCTGTTTGGAGAGGGGGCTGGTTTGTGTTACGCTGAGAATGGCAGCAAGGCATTTGGAGGTCCTGTTCTTTTCTCTTTATAACCACCCCCTGAAGAATCTCATGCTCTTATTGCCTAGAAAGTCCGAGTTTCACTGTGGCACTCGGATTTCCCTGACTTCAGCAAGGTACAAGGTGTTTTAGCAGCTGTGCTGCCTGGGTAGGAGGCAGAGGAGTGTGTTGTTGGGCTGAGCACGTCGGTTTCCCGAGTTCAGCTTGTCCAGGGCTGTTACGGGATAAATGGCAACTTTCCTCCCTGCTGTGAAATGAGGAGCGCTCACCCCACACTCAGTTCTGAATCCTTAGTCTCCTCCTTGCAGCAGTCTAGCCAAGGCCTGATGTTCTCTGTTGAGCTAGATGTCTCATAGTAATTTTTTGCCTTCATTTTAGGGAGCTCTTGCACTTTGTGAAGGAAAATGATGCCATAGCACAAGAAATTTCGGAGAGGTAAGTTGTATTTCCCATATGTGTGTCTGTCAGGCACTCTTTTTCTGAAGCACCTATCAAAGACAGCGTGGTACTAATAGGGTAAAGTATATTTATCTTCTGTAGTAACAGCAGGGGCATTGGAGAACTCATAACAAGGGGAACAGGAAAACAAGATTATGCTTTAGGTCTTCAGTTCAGATGTGATCCATGTCAGGAATCCCACTGAATGCTATAGGAAGTTAGAAGTTTTAGTCTCAATATGAAATGAGTTGACCTCTGGGAACCAAGTCTGCATTATAAATATTATATCTCCAGTCTGGCAGTGACTGGCTTCAGAAGCAGCACGAACCACTGTTGTTCAGGGCCTATCTGGGATAATAAATATTATTTCAAATAGCAAATACCATATTGAGGATAACAAAAGCACTGCAAGCTTTGGAGCGATGAGAGCAAACGAAGGTTGTGAAATTAAAGTCAATAGTACTAAGCAATGTTTGCTGTTTCGCACTGAAAAACAGAAGAGCTGATAGACATATAAAACAAAACCACAGACTTTTGTAGCAACTGAGGGTTGGTTCTGACTGTGTCTGGTGTGTCTCTAGGGGACGCCAGTTCATCACTGAGCACTTGCAGATGGAGGATGTCTCTTGCTACTGGGAGCATCTGCTGACCGAGTACTCCCAAACACTGACTTACAAAGTGAAAAGGAAGAAAAACTACAATGAGATTACTTCTGAACGGCTGAAAACAGAACTGTAGAGACGGTGGTTTTCTTAGTGCCTCAGACTGATCTCTGTGGAAATCTGAAGACCCGTGTACCTTCCTTCTAGTTTTCCTAGGCTTATTGTCCTTAACACTAAAACTGCAGAGCACAGCAACAGGCTAACTTTAAAAATCTTCCATACGATGGGACCCACCTAAACTGTTGCAATAAGGGCATTAAATAGAATGTTAGATGCTGAGTATTTAATGGAGTAGCTGTGCTGGTGCCTGGAATAGGGATGTAGGCATTTGGGACTCGGAATAATCCTAAATCCCATCCAGTCAATGATGGACAGTGTGTTAATTTGACTGGATTTTTTATCAGGTCCTTTGAAATTGTGTCCACAATGCCCAAACTGTGAGGCCCACTCAACAGGGACAGATCAGCAATGTTTTCTAACATGTGTGATGACACTTAGGATACTATGCCTTCCCTCAGCAGCAGTGACTGGGTTTGGGGATACCCTTCTTAGATAGCTTAAGAATTTTTTGTTTTCTCCTAAAGTTTTTATCTGGTTTCTAAAGCAAGGTTGCAATGGGCTGTGAAAAGGACGAGTTCTCCTTGCACACGTGAATTACCTACCTCAGAGGGAAGCTGCCGGCGGTGATGGTGATTTTGCCACAGTGCTAAACCAGACCAGGGAGCAGACAAGCAGAGGGTAGTTGACGTAAGGACAGTCCATCCTCTGACAGATCTGCTTATCTGGACACGCGCACAACCCTGTGAAACCAAGCCCATGTTAAGAAACTCTCAGCAGTCCCCTAGCCAGATGTGCAGGGACCCTTGGGAACCTAGGGAAAATATTTGGAGGGATAGATGCAGCTCTTCATAGCTCCAGATGTTCACAGAGCCTTTGTTCTGCTCCCCTTCCATATTTTTTTTTGAGGCTGGTAGTTCCTCTGCTTGCCTCAGCATTTGCTTATCTTCCTCCCAGCCATTGCATTCCTTTCCTTATCTCCTTCAGTTTGCTTCAGGAGTCTTCAGTCACACAATGGCAGCTATTCCTCACATTATTCATTTTGAGTTTAGTCACAGTCTGATTTATTTAACTGTTCACTGATTTATTAATTAAAATTAACTGATTTTTACCAGCCAGAGGCTGCTCAGCCCATGGTGAATGGAGTTTCTAAAATGCTTTGTGGTCCCTGAGTTGAGAGGAGGGGCCTGGTGAGAAACAGCCTGTTCTGTGGTGCCCAGAGAGATTCGGTTCCTCTTGCTGACTGTTTGCTCAGTGACTTCAGCTTTTCTAGTGGAAGAGAGAGACATGGAGCTGCCTCCAAGCCTGGCTGTCTAGGCCCCCTTAGCTGTGAGCTGCTTATGCACATGCTGTGGGATCACGGCTCCTGTGCACAGCTTGTCTGAGCTGGCAGGGTCAGAGAGGTCCTAGGCCTGTCCTTTGCTTTGAGACAGGCACCTGGCCCTCGGTTCAGTGCCTGGCAGTCCCGGTACGTGGCTCCCTGCAGAGAAGCAACTGCTAAACCTGCCTGAAACGGAGCAGCGTAAGCAGCAGTGGGGGACCCCGTGAGGCCTTTGCAGCCCAGGCAGGCACCCTACGGAGCGGCCTTGTGTCTTGGGAAAGCAGCACATGAGCAAAAGGGAAGAGCGAACGCTGGCAACAGCTCGTAATCCTCTCCATCGCCAGTTTGGATTGGAGAAGAGGAAAATGCTGCAAAGAGCAGTCATGCTAAATAAATGTGCATGTGCATGCACTCATACAGAGGCCGAGCAGCCCTGCCAAGTGCTGGTGCAGGGGCACAGCTGTTAGGCATCAAACCTATGGTGCTGGAGCAACATGGCAGCTTCAGGACCACTACCTGGGTTATCCCAGTGTGCAAAGAAAGCAAATTAGGGTATTGAAACAGTTTGGTTTCTGAGGAAAAGAACTGTGTGAGAGTACAAGGGGGTTTCTGGTCTTGCAGGTTTAGTCAACAAGGAGAGAGCAATCTGAGAAACTGAAACAACTGTGTATATTATTTTACATCATTTTGAACTAAGTGCTTTTGGAATAAAACCACAAGTTTTTGTATACACCGTTTTTTTTAGTCTGAAGAATAATTATATTGTAATAAAAGATCTGAAAAACCACCAGCTGTTTCATCCAAGAATCTGTCTTTTGGCTGCTTCTCTCCAAGGGTAGGGTCTAGCGTGTCTCAGGGGGGTGGATGAAAGAAAGCGCTCTTCCCTGCCGCGCCTCTCCTCCACGGCCAGGCTAACGGTGACTCTCCACGGGTCAGTCAATACCCGGCAAGCGTCGGTAGGGGCTTTTCAGTCCACTTCGTCTTTGACTTTACTAAGAGCCCTAATGAATGGGGCCCTCAGCTGCCAGTCTTGGCAGACTGGACAGTGCGGCAAGGTCACTGCTGGAGGGGGTGCCCCTTTCTCCTGGGTAGGATATAAATAAAGGAGGGGGTGGTATGGGAACGCTGCTCTGCAAGTATCACGTTCGTACTGCTCTCCTTGCAGAAACTATAATGCTCTCTTGGTTCAACCACCAAGCACATGGAAAATAAAAACGTGTAACCTTGTATCCAGTTAGAATGTGAGCGGAATGCTCGAATGGAAAGCACAAACGGATACGGAGCAAACCGGGCAAGGGAGACAAAAACCCTGATAGTGGGTATGAGGGGCAGAGATCTCAGCGCAGCAGCTGCCTCACTTTTTTTTTTTGCCTGGGGTTGATACAAGGTCAAGGGGTGACCTGGAGAACTGGCTCCAAGGTGGCCCCGGGCCCCCGGCAGCTGCTCCAGG